CCCACACTGCCGAGCCATGTTCATCTTGGAGTCAATAATGACTCCAAGATCCTTTTCCACCTCCGTGCTGACAAGAGGGGAGTTCCCCGGCCTGTAGGTATGGTGCCAGTTGTTCCTCCCCAGGTGCATCACCTTGCACTTGTCTGTGTTGAACCCCATCCTGTTCTCCTCCGCCCATCCTTGTAACCTGTCAAGGTCCGACTGTAGCCTGTTGCTCCCTTCTATTGTGCCCACATCCCCCCACATCTTGGTATCATCAGCAAATTTGAACAGGGTGCTTTGCACCCCCTCATCCAAAACACTGATGAAGATGTTGAACAGGGCGGGCCCGAGGACCGAGCCCTGCGGGACCCCACTGCCCACGTCCTTCCAGGCCGAGAAGGACCCATCCACTACCACCCTCTGCGTGCGGCTCTCTAGCCAGTTGGCGACCCACTGGACTGTGTGGGTGTCTGTGCCACAGACAAAGACCAATGGTGTATTGGTCTTCAGAGTTTTGCTCTATTAAAATGACTGAGACACACATAGATACAATTTTCAAAAGCATGTGTGCAAAAGAATATGCATGCACTTTGGATATGTCTTGATTTGCAAGACTGTTAGGTCAGCATTGAGAGTAATATGTGGTTTTCTACTACAGGACTTCCACATATGCATAGCAGTTCACTACAGTCTTTCTGTTTTAAGTGGATAACATTAACTCTCAATATCCCCAGTGCTTATAAAAGGTTATTGTAAATGCATTAAACAGTGCTCATCCTGATTACACTTTTATATTGATTCATTTTCAGCGAAATAATGCTGTACAGGAGTTTTGAGTATAGTGTGTGTTAACAGCTAGAAAACTGCTTTGGATTACAGTAATCTTTTAATGGAGAAAACACAAAAATCTTATATGAGAGAAGTCTGATTTAAAACCCTGTGAACTTTGATTCTGATATTCTTCTCTTCACACACAGAGTTTTCTCCACATCAATGGAAGATCTGGCATTCAGGGAGAGTAGACTACTGGAGTCCAGGACTGCCAGATTTTGTCTTTGCTGCTATGGTCCATATGATTTTCCAACAAGTCCATTTTAACACCAGAAATCTATGGGGAGTCAAGTTATGTGCCTACATGACTGTATCTCAGTTAATAATCAGAAAAAGACTGGATGGGATCAGATAACTTTTCCTGCCATCGACTACAACAATCACAACACAGGGTAGATGAAGAGAAAAAGAGCAACTGAGATAAATAAAAGATCTTGAGTACACTGTAGCCTTGCTTGTGCAACAAGCTCCCCAGTGCAGCCTAAGCTGAACCACTGACATGTGGGGTGTTCTGCAGATGGATCAACAGTGGCACCTATACAACTGTGTATATCCGGAAAACTGCTTTTGATTTTCCATTTGGTAGCCAGCCAGTGAGTCAGGGGGAGGGGGGCTTGGTCATTCACAGATGTTTCAAGATAAAAAGAAATGAGGTTTTACCCAATGAAAATAAATTGATTTGTCCTTTTTCTTGCCCTACTCACCACATCCTTTGAGGTGTAAGTTAGAAGGACAGATGGGTACTTAGATACATTTTTCACAAGAACAAAGCACTCAACACTGGTTGTTTCATGCAGCGTAGAACAATGGCAGAACCAAGGTGTGTTCTGAGAACTACCGAGCATTGAAGCCCTTTATAGAGGTAGCTCAGGTAATGAGACACAGTTAGTTACCAAGCACTTCTTGTAAAACCTTCTCTTTGGTTGCATACAACTTTACTAACACTAAAATGTTCAGTAGAAGCAAAAGTTTATTCCATGGGCAAATGAAAGTAGTTTTGGCTGGCCAGAGATGGGAAGAACAGGGGGATGGGATGAAGGGGAGGGAAATTGAAAAAAACACAAATACCTCTCCCTTAAATTACTAAATTTTCATTCTGGTCAATGTCTATGGAAATTTTCAGTTTCCATAGTACAAGGTTATGTTTGACTTTGGATAAAAAAAAATTAAAACATACCATACCTTTCCCTTTCAAGGACCATTTCTTATGACGTATGTGAGATGTGCGTGGCTTTAAAGCAGATTTGCTCATCTTACTATTCCAGGTGCAAGCAAGAACATTGCCAATGGTGAAGGCAATTTCCAGAAATATTACACAGTGAAAGAGGTGATCCCAAGGTAAGAAAACAGCTTTTAAATGAAGCATGTCGAAGTCTCAGGGAGCGTTGCCACAAATTTTGGTCAGTTATGAGTCTGCCTGCTTTGCCTACTGTTATGTAGTATATGAGGACCAGATATCTGTCCTGCCAACAAGGGCAGATACTCATAATTAACATCATCCGAAGCTGCCAGAAATGAAGGCCCAATTCTTTCCCCTGCCCTGGTCCCTTCCTGCTGGCACAACAGGGCTGGAACCTGGCCACAGCTCATCAGCTGAGAATGTGCTTGGCAGAAGGAATCCTCATTTGGGGTAGAGCCTGCACAGCTGACTCATATATTTCTCCCTGAAGTTGGCGAGGGCAAGAATTGGGAATGATGTATGAACCAGCTATGCTGAGGTTAAGCCAGCTCATTTAACCAGCTGGAGGCCAGAACATATAGCCCGGGCCTGGCGAGAGAAACATAGAGCCATAATAAACAGGACTTAATGACAGTCCTGCATCAGACCACTGATGTATTAAAGAATCTGACCCGGAATACTTTATGAAAACCATTTTAAGTTGCCAATGAAAAAGATGAATTAGAACATTAGTTTGTCCACTCTATACAGGAAATATCAGATGTTCTTCTTAGGTAAAAATATTAAAAGACACCCCAAAGGTTTTAGCTGCCCTTAATCCTATTTTCAAAAATGACCTCAGTTTAAGGAGAGATTTTTTTCAAATGCACAATTTGCAAGAGGCACCTAATTCTCACAGCAAATTAACGGGAGATGGGCACCTCAGCCCTTTGGACCTTGGAAAGGGTCCTTCTTGGAAGTCTAAGTTTCATTCCAAGCCAATAGGACTTAGAAGCCAAAGCCATTTACACACCTTTGTGATTTTTTTCTCTTGACCTTTATTTCTTTTATACAGTGTTCTGCAAGGATTGCACTTTGAAATCTATCTAGAACCTGTTATTTAGCATTTATTTGAAAAAAAGGCAGAAGTCAATCTCAAAGAGTACAGTACCAAAAAGTAACTTTCGCATCATCTGCACCTGCAGTAAATTTATCTGATTTAACCATAGTCAATGTGTTGCCATAGATACTACTGTATTCAACAGAATGTTTGTACTGTCCAACTGAAATTTCTCTATTTTTAGTCTCACAGCTACTCTGAGATAACGTTTTTGCAGATAGGAGTAGCTGTATTGGTTAGATAACATGCAGCTTTGAAACCACAGATGACCTCATAGAACTACAAAGAAAGAAGCATCTGTTACTTTAAAACAAAGTCTAAATTTAACCCAGATATACCAAAATTAAACAGACAGGTTTTTATAGTGGTATTACTAGACAAATAACAAAAGTCAGTATAAATTCACTGTATGTACTGATTATGGTAATGAGGATATACAGAAAGTAAGTTATCATATAGAAAATAGATATTTCCCGAGTAAACCACAACATGAAAAAGCTCTTCTTCCAGATTTATTGTAGATGTCTACAATCACCACACAGAAACCTACTTTCTCTTTTGTTTGAGAACTACTGGCCAAATTGTTTTTGTCAGTGTTCTGAACGCTTTTTTGTTAAGTTTAGCACTATCAATCCACATCATGGATACTAAATGCATACACACAGGCCAGTTTTCTTAGAAAAGGCCTCCATTTATAGCTATAAATCCCCTGCATGAACATTGCATAGTGTAGTGTCTACATGTACAAAATCCACTCTTATGACTTCACAACTTTACAGTTCCTCACAATTGCAACGTTAAAGCCCTTGATCTTCACAAACCATCTTGGAATTCAATCATTACTATTTGAACAAGTTATATTCTTTAAAACACCATTTACTAGCATTCAGCAGTAGAAACCTCTGAATACTAAACATTTATGTGGTGAACTAAGGAGAGAACTATGTATGAAACAAACAAGTCACAGATAACTCTCCAGGGATTAGGGTGGTCGGATGGCATAATTTGGGACGAAACTCTTTTGATATGCAAAAAAGAACAGGTCCTCTCATGAGATTATTAGTTTATCTTGTTCCAAGTATATCCTGTGTGCTAGAAACCCTGTAAAGAGCAACTTTTCTGAAGATACTTCAGAAATTCTTCCTCAAGTCCTAACCATACCAACAAACTGTATAGGCAAGCCAAGCAGATCATTAAAATAAAAGAACCCTTTTCACAACTCATACAATATTTCACATGGGAAATTGATGAAGGATTCAATCAATACATCTCTGAGCTCCATCTCTGTCTTTACACACAGGCAATTCTATATTTCTAAATATGACAGTTTCTTGCTTTTGGTCTAATTCATCCAGTGCAGTTAATAAGTAAAATAAAGCACTGCAAAGCACTACACTGTTAATTTAAGATTGCAAAAACTGTTTTTCCTTAGTTCGATGTCACTTGAAAGGAAAAACTCCATTTGTCATAGAGAATGAAAACCAGGATAGAGCAAGATTTTTGTTCCCTCTCTAAGGAATAGTAGGTGGAGTTATATAAACAACAGAGCAATGATCAAAGAGAAATCTTGGGACTGCAACATACTAGCGTATTAAAGAAAGAGCCTTTTATCTATCATGGAGGAAGGAAGTAGAGCATCGAGACGAGTGCAACATATACCATTAAAAATCGAAAACCAAGTGAGTAATAGGAGAGAGAATCCTATTAATTAAAGTTTAAATTTTCCTCTGCTCTGTTAAAATGACAAAAAGAAATGTAATGCTTGGTGTTGAGATTTCACTTATTTTGGAAAGTTAGGTATATTGCTCCATTTTAAGCCATATTTTTTCCCTGAATATAATGAAACAAAGCACTGTAGCATGGCACATCATTTTTATTCATCGCTAAGCAAATGAAGACAAGGCCTACCTTGTCTTCCACTCTGTTCAACCTGGCACCAACTGTGTTATTCCCTCGATCCTTGCTTTTTTCTGTGAAGCAAGAAAAGTTTTCAAATGCATATACTGGGGTATAACCATAGCATGTAGCATTAAGATACAACAGAGATCCGGTAGCTGACCCATCAACATAGTATAATGGAGCACCTTTGGAGGCTGAAAGTTTTGTTTCAAAACAGCAGCTTTCTTTTCTTACTAATCATTAGGCCAAGCCATGCCTTTTAATAGCCTTGAAATCTAAGGCACTTTCCATCTTATTTTTATACTTCTGGGTAGAAGATTTAGCTGTTTCTAATTGTTTTTTATGTTTTTAATTGATCTAGAACCATGTAACACTCTAGAGCCAGCTTGGCTGTGGTTTGATTTTTATTTTTTCTAGAAATGAGAAACCAGAAATGAAATGAATAGTCAAGAGAGTATACTTAAGTATGTATATGTAGCAGGTCTAGCACCAAGGGTGGCTGTGGCACTCCCTGGGGGCTATGCAAAACCTGCCTCACTCCAGCTCCTTGGTGTATTCTCCCCATTATTTCATCTGCCACACCTTGATGTATATGAATTGGCAGGCTGCCCCTAAATTCTGGGTGATCCTGGTTGCCTTTACCTGACCTAGCCAAACTCTTAGTTCTACTGTTGCTCTATGGTCCCTTACTCTGCCACCCAATTATTCTATGCCCAACTGGCCCTTAATAAAACCTGCAATTACCATTTGGCCCTTTCTTTACCTACTGGACCTTTCTGTGCCTCGTGGCACTGAATTGCTTTCAAGGTATTAATCACAGCCTCCAGCCTCCCCCATAACCATGCCCATGTCTTGCAGATGTTGATTACCATCAGTTAATACCTACAGCCCCCCAGGAACTCATTCCTTTGTTTGGGTGCCTTGCTTGTCAGCCTTTATGACCTTGTCCCCTTTTTCTGGCTGTCATCTTTGGCCCCAACCCTCTCAGCCTCAGCCCCTACTGCGGCCTGCTCAGCCTCAGCTCAGCCATGGCCATGGCACAATTAGCCTCAGTGTGGTCACACCTCTGCTTAGTACAGCACTTGAAACACAGAGTGCCCCCAGGAACCGTGTCATGTGGCCTCCCGTCTATCCTTACAACCACAACCTGGTCCTCGGTCTTTACCAGCCCACAACAATCCCACCATCACCAATTGCTGCTCGGTTCCTCTCTGCAGGGTGTCCCAGGCTCCTATTCTGTTAGGCCCTTCCTTCCCCAGCACTGGCCCTCCTGGGCATACTCAGAGTTACCATAATCTCTCACCCCTGTGCTAGCAACTCTATCCCCTAGCACAGCCTGGGCCAGACTGTTCACTGGCTCAGGACTCTTCTGTATACATCTTATATATTCTGGGGCTCCACATCTTTTGGTCAGGGCATCCCCTGACCAGCTACAGGTGTCTTCCCTGAGCTTAATGAGTAGCCTGCCCTCAGCTGCTGCAGTTTGCCTTTCTACTTTGCTCTGCCTTATTGTTTTGCTGTTGGCTACCACACAGCTACTTCGTAGCCCCTATATTCTGGCTTCCCCTGGCTGCTTATTTTCCTGTGGCTATCCCTGGCCTCAGCTGCCTGCTTCAAATTGCAGGCTTCTAATGTTGCCTTCTTATTGTCTAAGCAGTAGAGATTACAGGACCCTGCTACAGTACAATAACATCTCCAAATAAAATACTACTGCATGGCATTTTGGTTGTGATTTTCATCTGTTTGACAATTTCAAACTACTATGTGAATTTGGGATATTTCAGTTTCACAGCCTTGCTGTGAGTACACCCCCCATTTTACAGAAGAGTGCTGAGGCACAGAGACATCAGAGCTGACATTTGCAAAAAAGGTTGCCTACAAGTAGGTATGTAAATAAAAGAGGCCAATTTTCAAAGGCCCTGAACTTCATATCATAGCTTTTAAAACTATCATCCAAAATGGAAAGTATTGTTATGAATATTTTCCATAATAACATATTCTAATCTGCTTTGCTCTTGGCATGCTTCTTAAACCTAGGTTTTAAAGTTTATTCTAACATTAATGGGTCTAGCCTAAAGATCATGACAGGGGATTAAGAGTCAGGCCTCCTGGGTTCTACTCCTCGGGTCACTCATTAACTCATCCTGCTACTTTGCTCAGCTCTTCCAAGTCTTTCTATGTTTCATACATGTCAACTGAAGTACACTGACAGACAGTTTATTTTTCTGGGTGCATATGATACATAAAAGTATCTGAGCACCTGCCTAATAATTCCTAAGGTCCTTCATTTAATCCTATACAGCAGGTATTTTCTTAAGTGTGTAACTGACAGACTGCTTATATTTCAGGAATACCATATTTGCTCACTTACCACACGCACCCTTTCTGCCAAAATCAGCCCACCAGATTTGAGATGCATATTTTAAGCAAGTAAACTGATTTTTCTTTGCTGGAATAGAAAAAAGTGTGGAATGGAGCAAGTGGATGCTGTTAACTTATGGCCATCAAGATGGCTACCACTTCTCTCTGCAAACAGCAGAGATGGAGGCCAGTGCCAACCTTCTCACAGCTGCTAGTGAGGCAGTTGCTTTTGCCTTAAGAGCTACTGAGCTGGCTGAGGGGGAGTGAGCTGCTGCATGCAGTCTGTACTATTTTAATGAGGCTTGTGGTATGAAAACAACACTACTAATTTACAGGAACCTATATAAAGAACTATTTACAGTAAAAGAAGTAGTAGTCTTAGTAGTGCCCTTGCATGGGTCTGGGGCCTAGCCTTATTGCTGTTCTGCCACACCTGGAAATTCCTAATGCCTCACCCAGACCATATCCTGAGCTGCCATGCTTCCCGGACACTGTCACACACAGAGCCAGGAATCTTGAAAAGTTTTTTTTTCCCTATGTTCTGCCTTCCAAAAACAACATCCAGGTTTTATTTGGAGGTATTTGATATGTGAGAAAATATGGTATACCAACTTATGACATGGTAACTTACCTGAGACAGAAATAAAGAGAGATGGCTTCCCTATAGATTGGTCAAGCCTGGAAATTGAAAGACATTATATTGTCAGTAAAAGAAGAAAAGCATTCCTCAGATTTAAAGATATACATTCTGGGGTCAGTATACAGGATCTTTCTCCAAGTAGCACACTGTAAAGTTCAAGTAGTTCTGCTTCACAGTACAAATTAAGTATTAATCTGAACCATGGCTGCCTCTGGAAATTGAAAACCATCAGCTCTATATGGCTAGGTTAGTGTTTTAGCCATGTAATAGGTTTTAGTGACCACTAATGTTCATAGTGTTCATTTTTGTCCCATTTTTCCCCCCTGATGCTTCACTTGTCTGGTTGTGCTATCATCTATGCTCTCTAGTTTTATACCTTAATAATAAGATCTTTGTAGTGGGCACTGTCTTTTTGTTAAGTGTTTATATAATGGGGTTGTTGTCTACAACTGGGTCTAACAAGTGCTCTGGCAGTACATATAAAGTTATAAACAACAAATGGTTCTAAATGATTCATGGACCTTTTATTTACAGTCTCAGAATGATATTTTTTGTGAATTACATAAAAATATTCTGTAATGTTGTATGAGCCTACTATACCTACCACTGTAGTCTTTTACATCTTCTTGCACTGCAACCTACTATACTACTTTTTATGGACTACTCTCCAGAGACATTTACAAATTAAGACTATTAAACTTTGTAGCATACCTTCGCTGTAACTCTTTGATTCGCACCATCAAGTTGAGATGCCCCTGAGAATACTGTTCAATAACATCTCGTACATCATATGGCTTTCTAGCTTGCTGTTAAAAAAAAAAGAACATGAAGAGCCTGATAAATATCACAACAAAGAAAAAGATCTGCCTCAACGGGATGAGAAAGAGTATGTCGTAAGGATTTTCTCACTTATTAAGTATATGAAAAGATATTCAGACTTTTGAAGTTCCTTATACTGTCCCTACTACCTTACATATTTATTGGGGTTTGCTCATGAAGATCTCTACAACTCCCCATTCCTCTTTATACTCTTCCAAAAGAACAGAGGCTACATATTTTCAAACAGGTTATTGAGAGGATGCTAGGCCAAAGAAGTGTTTGAAACATGCTCCTAGATAATATCAGGATAACAAACTTCAGGGCAAATGATAAACTCAGAGGCCAAGTGCCAGGGAAGTGCTATCTTTGCACATGCAAGTCTTACTCCTCTAAAGTCAATAACTAGAGGGTGTGAATTTCATAGTAGCCCATCAGACTAGCAGCACTGAACCACTGATGTTAGAGAAGCCTGCCTATTCAAATAAGCCTAATGTGTTAATCATGCTGTGCTAGTCACCTCAAAAAGGCCCACACTTTGATATTAGACCAACAAGCAATATTGGTTAAACAAGAGTCCTCCTCAAAACCTGGGTCTACACATAAGCCCAACACTGTAGTTTTACTGTTATATAAACTGGGCATAGACCTGAACTGAGATGTAAGTGCAGAAAACAAGATGTCTGATTAAAGTTTTCTTGATGTAATTCCAACAATACACAGTGGCTAAGCTAATAATTCTCAACAAAGCTTCTGCTTTGGTGCACAGCCAGCATGATAGCGCTGCTGAGTAAGTAACTGCTAAGAGCTTTTGTATCAACTTCAATAAAATCATGATCAGCTGTTGAGGAACTCATCTTAAAAGTGCAACAGAAAGCTGCATTAAACCCCAGTGCTATCGGAAACAACAAAGGGAGAAAAAATTGACTTAAACATATCTAAAATGAATGGGACATTTTACCCCTTACATTTTAAATATCCCTCCACCTTTGAAGGTGAAGATCTCTTTTGGGAGATTATTTTCCAGCTTTAAAGAGACCTAATAAATATGATTTACCAAATTGTTTGCTCTCCCTCACTGTTCAGATCAGAAGGGGCTGAGAGAACAACTGGACTCGAAAGCAGTGGCAGGCCTAGGTGTTTGGATAAGGTGAGTTTTGAAGTAAGATGAGACTCTAATATGATGTAGTTTTCTCCACAAAGAGCAAAAATAAATTGAAGAGGGAGAGACCGGGGGGGGGACGGGGGGGGACAGACTGTGACGTAGAGAGAGGCAGAGGAGCGGGGAGAGACAAACAGACAGAGGGAGAGAGACAGGGGGAAATCCAGATGGGGAAAGAGGGACTTAGGTCACCTATATACATGCAATGAGGCTGCTCCAATGCACTGTAATTACAGTGCATTAGAGTAGGCTTGATTAATTGAGTCTACTGGAGCATGGTAACTACCGCGTTCCAGCAGACTTCAGTGTCATGTGTATCAACATCCCTGTACTGAAAAATGGCGGTGGGGGCTGTGGCGTGCACAGTAGGGGATGCTACTATGCAGAGCCACTCACTTCACCGTGCCAGGCCCAAAACCATGCTTTGGGAGTCTCCCTTGGGAAGCCTACAGCTGGCTGTCCTACTTCATGGAGAACACTCAGAAGCCTGGGGTAACGCTGCCACCACCCAGGCATTGGTCTCAGGTAGGGCTCTGTGCAGTCCGGAGCACAGACCCTGCAAACCTTGGGGGTGCTTTGCCCACAGTAATATTTCTGGGTGTTTCTTTCAGCCTGAAGTATCACAAGAGAGGATCAGGTAGAACTGAGGGAAAATAAAAAGACAAACTTTGCTGGCCAAGATGGGAACAGAAAGCTTCTCTCCTCCCTCCACAGTAACACATCAAGGCAAGGTGTCACTCGATACCTTTGCTGATGGAGCGGTGTGGGGGGGAGAAGTAGTACAAGGAAGTCAGAATACACTTCGAGCAAACATAAGCACGTGAGTCTGTACAGAGATAGGGTACTGTGGTTTGTTGAAGACGCCGCTGGCCTACACACAATTCCTAACTCCTGATTAGATAATTAGGTTCTATACATGGAAAAGTATTGAGTAAATTTAAAATGTAAAAAGAATAATTTTCTATATATAAACCATGTTCTATATATGTGTAATTACTGGAGTGGAGCATCTTATATTTGAAAACAGCTTGAAATCAGGTACATATAATAAATTAAAATTGAAGGAGAGAGTGCTCCAGCATAAAGAAGAAAATTCTCTATTCCCTATGTACAATAGGGGTTCCTTCTCAAAGCAGAGATTTTTCTCTCCATCTGCCCACATTCTATAGTATTACATTAATTCAAAAGGAAGAATTCCTTCAAACTAGCTCCTCAGCATTTTACTCTGAGGAGGAGATTTGTAGGCTCTTAAAACTCTGCAGGGGTCACTTGAATGGAATTTTGAAAACCTGCAATTTCCTAACTCTCAGAGAGTCATTTGCCCAAAGACAACCTTCTTAATGGGCTTCCAAGGAGTGGGATTAAATAGTTATCACTTTCTTAAACAGTAATTTATAAAAAAGAAAATTTAGTTAGTATATACTGTAACTCTGGATCTCTCAAAATTAATTACTCCTTTACCTATACACAGAATAATCTCACTGTCACCAAAATTGTGCTGTGCATTGTATAGAATCTACTGGGGACTCAAGTTTACTTTACCCTACATGCAGTTACATCATACCCAAGTATATTTAAAATGGCACTTTATTAGACCAAGTAGGAAATCGCAAAAACTAATTATTTTTCTGCCAAATCTTTTTTTGTTCTGCAATGAAGTTTAAAATCCAAAATTTTGTTTTTGAGATTTCCTACTTGGCCTAATAAAAGGTATCATTTCTGAACCAAGCGTTCTAGATTTTTGCATTTCATTTTGACCAGCATGGCTACTAAATACATCCCTGAAACATGGAAGATGCTGAATTTTAGTCGATTTTGGATTTTTAACGTCATTGCAGAACAACAGGAAAGATTTTTAAACCTCCCTGCTTGCCATTGGACACCTCCAGGGAAGGAATCCTACCTGATCTACACAACAAAGAGCAACTCAGAACAACTCAGAGACAGTCTCACAGAAACACTCATGGATCCAGAGGCACAGGTTTTCCATCTCCAGCTCCCTCTGTGCAAAAATGAACTGTATTTCCCTATGGGGACTTTTTACCATCTTTAATTTTCCCAGAGCCTGATGAAGGACCTTTGAGCCTGGAAGCTTGCAGAAAAAGATTTTTTTTTTGTGATTTCCTAGTTGGTCTAATAAAAGGTAGAATTTTGAACCAAGAGTTTTACATTTTTGCATTTCTCGCATATGAAACTTTTATTAGAACAGGGGTGGGCAAAATGTGGCCTGCAGGCTGGATGAGGCCCACCAGGCCATTCTATCTGGCCCGCGGGGCCCCTAAAAATTTAGAAAATTAATATTTATCTGCCCCTGGCTCCCTGTCATGGGGCCCTCAATGGCTTGCCAAAACTCAATAAGCGGCCCTCCACCCAAAATAATTGCCCACCCCTGTATTAGAACAGCCATAGTAGAGCTAAGGGAATGGTCTTCCTGTCCTGCAATCATTTTCAAAATTTCAAAAGTTTTTCCATTCCAGCTGCAGCTGTAACCAGTTGGAGAGAAAAACCAAGTCACAATAAGCCAATAGCAGGCACTCAACTAGGATGTGAAGGAGTCCTGCTCTGCTATTTTTCCCACATCCCAGGTAAGTGTCCTGATCATTGGCTTATAGGCTATTTTGGAGAGATTTTCTTTCAGGCCCCACACATGCATGGTAAGAGGTGCAATTGTGGGATCCTGCATTAGATCCCATCATGCCTCACTGCTGGTGCAAGGGGAGTCCTGCACCTCCAGGATGGGGAGATCACCACTGTGGCAATGCTCATGCTCTGGCAGTTTCATACACCCCCAAGGTGAGAATGGGGTCACTGGGAGGCATGCTGCAGGGACACAGTATCCGGCAGCTGTGAGACTCTGGGTTACAGTAGTTGCAGGGTGCTGCTGGGACTCAGAGTCCGCAGCTGCTGGGGCTGAGTGTCCCCAGCAGTTGTGGGACCCACAGCCATGGCAGGGCAAGATGTACCCATGAGACTGGGAGCCCATAGCTCATAGGGCTCCCAGATGCGGGGCAGACCCTCTACATGTGCAAATTAAAGCTCAATAGGAACCAGCTATAAAGTTAGTAAATATTTTGAGGTCTAACTTTACAGCTAGTTGGAGCTTTTTATTGTATGATAAGTACTTTGCACGTGTAGCTGGTCTCAAGGTAACTGCACAGTTAACCAGTTAATTGCGTGATACCTGTAATGTGTAGAGGAGGCCTCAGCCTAACCTCTTTGAGTTGTTTCACTTTGTATAAATAACTATTTATTGGAGCAAAACATTGAATATGGACTTCCCACAGCCTGGTGAGTCCCTGGCTATTGGGGTACAATGTCAGTCTCCTTCTGGCCCAATGAATATTTTATTATCATTAGCATTCTGGATCATTTATTCTCAGGGTTTGACCAGGTATTTAATTTAGACCCAGGCTGAGCAGCCTTTTACCAGTGTGGGTCAGAGCTTGTGACGTAGCCATGGCTTCAGGCTAGAAGTCGTCTCTCTGCTTGCATTCACCTTTGCTACATATAACTGATACCTCTGCAGCAAGGGAAGCAGAGATGCAGCTGAGCAGGAAGCTCCACAGCAGAGATAGCTCACCTCCATGCCACTGATCCCCTGTACTGTGTCAGACCTTCATGGGCTGTACTGGACCTCTTAGTGGGCTGAATCCACTCACAAGCCATAGGTTGCTGACACTAATCTAAATATTAGAAGCCTTTTCTGAATGGTGTTTCAGCTAAACTGATACCATTCTTGCAAAAAAAATCAGTTTTGAAAAACTGATTTTATTGACATTTTCCAATGGAAAAAAATATGTTCATAGCTAGGATTCCGAAGTAGCTGAA